GACACAGCCCCCCAGCTGGGGTGGCTCCTGCTCCTCACAGGGGACGAGGCAGCGCCACCATCCTTGTTCTCCATTGCCAGTGAAACATTTTGATTTCCAGAAGTACTAATCAAAATCACTCTTGATTATGGCAAAAACAACCTCTGCTGAATTTTTTTTCCCTTTATGCAATTAACAAGGGTATATGGTAATTCCAAGCCATCTTGCTCTTGAGATTAAAGGAAAGCCTGCCAGGAAGCACATGAATAAAGCTTTAAGATGAGAATTTGCATAATGAAGACTTTCTCTTTGTGGAGGGACTAATGGTGGTTATGTTTGAAACCTATTAACGGAAATGCCTAAAAGCCTCCGCTCGAGTCAGTGTGTTGTTGCCGAGCCACCGTGACCCACGCAGGCTCTGCTGCCCCCACTGCCCTCCACGCTGCCGGGTCCCCACCAGGAACCTCAGCTCCATAACCCCTCCAGTTCTGCCCTCTCCTTGGGCTGCCCAAGCAGTGGGAAGAGTCAGAACGGGACGGGCACAATGGATGGGGCAGGACAGACAGTGCAGTCCCTGCACCAGCAGTGTTGTCTGCAGCTCAAGGCAAAGCCACAGCAAAATTCTGCATTTCTACAGGCCAACGCAGGAGGAGACAAAGCAGATGTCTGTCACAATTTGATTTCAAAGCTTACAGCAATAATTGAAATTATTCAGTGGCAGCATCCGATACACTCGGCACCCAGCAAGAGTGATGGAGGCGGTGTGGAAAATGCAACCAACAAAACCAGCCAGCTTCTGGTGGGCTCCAGGCTACTTCTCAGCAGTCATCGTTAGGACTGTGATGTGGGGCTGGGCCAGCAAAGGCCACCGTCCCCATGGGGAGAAGGCAAGCCCTCAGTGGGAGCTACGCCACCAGGCACTGAACACTCAAGGAACACTGGTGTCCATTCACCCTATGCCATGCTCAGGGCTGCCCAAAGGTGCCAAGAATCTTGTCCCATCACCAGTGGAAGGACAGACCTCAAGGTTGCTCCCAAAGGGCCTGAAGAATCAGCGCTGCCCCACACGCAGCAGCACATGGTCCCACA